TAGCAGGGAAGCGGCCGTTATTTAGAGGAGGTAAGCGGGCGTGGAGGAGGACGCCAGGGCGGCAGAAGCTTGGTTTGGTGTAGAAGGCTTCCAGCCCTACATGTTTGAGCCCTTGCCTCGCAACGCTGCCAGTTCTGTTAGCTCTACGCCTGATGAAGACACAGACGTCCATCCCCGTGAACACTGGGACGCAACTCAATGGGAAAGGAAAGGATCCTGATTTTAACCGTTGCGTATATTAGCTGTGACATATGAATCAAGATGCTATGACTGAAAGAAAATTGATTGACAGATGACCGTTGATATATGATTGGCCGAATTTAGGTGTTCACGCTGACGTAGAACTAACTGGGCTGTATAAGTTAACAAAAAAAACACAGATTTTAGGACAGGATTTTTTTTTAAATAGAAAATTTTGAACTTTTGGGACAATATGGTCTGATAAAAAGAACATTTATATACATGTTTAAGCCAGAATGATTTGAAATTTGAATTCGACTTCCCTACGACTTTAAAAAAGATCCTCCCCAAGCTGAACAAGTGCTAGAAACTATTAAAGAAATATACTCGATGGAGACTGACTTACTTGCTATGGCTAAGAGGACATGTTTTTATACAGCATTGGTCTAAATGGCAAGAATATAAGAAAAGGTTTGAAGTCTCTGTTTAACCCAGTCTGTTGTTTATATTTGTCATGCTACTTTGAACAGAGTCCCATTCTGTTCTATTTTGTTTCTTTGTTTTCAAGAATATACTAATAAAAAGCAAAAAAAAAAAAGTATTAAAAAACAACAAACAAACAGGTCTTCAGTTCTTTAGATTCAGTTCGTGTGAAACTGAAGCAGTTTACATCTAGAGCTCCTGATCTGGTCGGAGGTACCTTTGCTGAAGGCTGTGGAGATTCTCATAGCAGAACTCTGAGGAGCTGCGTCGATGGTAGAGGAGCAGGTGACGGCTCGCTCCTCCCGCTCCATCATCAGAACAATCCTAACAAACGAAGCAGCTGTTAGTCTCCTCTTTACTCTCGTTAGCTAACATGTGAGCTCTGAGTCAGTCCTCCTTACCTGTTGGCCACTGCATTCAGAGCCTCTAGAAACTCAGTGTATCTCTCCTCATCCTCAAAGTTGCACTGGTTGGTTAAAATGTCCAGGTACTGTTTGTTCCAGCGCATGTCCATCAAGATCCTGTATTCATCTGCAACATCACATTTAATTTAGTTTCTATAGTGCCAATTCAAAACACATGTCATCTCTTGGCACTATACAGTTCGCATTAAACCAGGGAGCCAGCTTTCTATATGTAAAGTTTTTCTTTATCAAAGGGGCTGCATTGTCTAAGGCAGTACTCAGAGAACTAGCAACCCCATCAACAAAATCACCAAACTGTGAAGGGGAATAAACGTAACTTTTTCTCTCTGCAGCACTGCTCAGCGACAGAGGAGAGAGAAAGTGAAATAGAATGTTTAAAATTTATAACTGATTGTAAGGAAATACTGTTATTTCCTCACATTCTATGCCGTATGTCAGCACAAGATCCAAAGTATGAAGATGAGAATGTGTGGGACTATTCACATTTTGAACAAAGCCAATAGTGTCTAAGATAGCATTAAAGGCTGCTCTTAAGCTATCGCCTTCAATGTTAGCATGGATGTTAAAATCTCCCACTATCATGATCCTGTCAGTATTTAATACCAAATCAGAAAGGAACTCTGAAAACTCATCTAAAAATTCAGAGTAAGGACCTGGTGGACGACACAAAGTTACAAAAGAGTTGTAATTATTTGCTGACTTTTGAGTAATCAGTGAGTCCGACTGAAAGATTTTTGCTACTCCTCCTCCTCCCCGAGAACTTATCAGGTTGCATTAATACTCCAGCCTTGGACTGCAACACAGTTTTAAATATTTTAAGGCTTTTAAATGGGTTTCTACAGACAGAAATGCTTCCAGGAGAGCAGCTGTGTCAGCCAGCTGGACAGAACAGAGCGATGAGGAGCCTGTTCACCTTTGCTGTGAGGCTGGAGCAGCTCTGCCAGCGTTCTGCCCTTTACAGCGAGGCTGCTGCTGAACACAGCCTTCAGGGCACGGTTTCCTGCCTCCACCTGGACCAGCGCTGGCTCTGAAAGAGTTCAGATCACACAGCTTTTAAAGATTCTACACCTTCCACTGTTTGCCGTCGTGTAAAGAAGGGAACAAACCAGGGAGATATTTGAAGCTCTTGCTCAGGTGAGAGAGCCAGCTGCTGCGAAGAATCCAATCTCCATGAGAGGCTCTCTCTGTCACCAGCCTGACTGCAGTGGGAAGCAGTCTGAGCGCATCTCCCTGCTTCTGATCCAGCTTTCCTCCAGAGAAGACAGAGTCTTCACGGACGCCGCCGCTCTGCATGGCCTGCTGCAGGTCCCTCAGTGTCATTGGACAATTCCTGAATAAACCCTCAATCGAATTAGACTAAAGTGACTCCTAAGACGTTTATTCTGGTAAAAAAAAAGGAAGAATTCTGCTTTCTCTTTGTTGCATTTTGCGTTTTTACCGTTTTCCCTGCAGGCTGAGGGAGTTAAGGCAGAAGAGGAGGACCTGCCCGTCTCTTAGAACAGACGAGAAGCATGAATCTTCGGTGGATAGAAGAGCTGATGGGAGGCCGTCGGGCCAAACTCCGGCGCACAGCAGCCCATCACCCCAATCCCCCCCATCCTGGATGGCCAAGTGCTCCTCAATCACCTGCTGGGCTCGCTGAAAGAGAACAGAGCCTTTAAAACAATCTTTGTCTTCTCTATCGCTGCCATTCTGCTTTAAAGGAAAAGTCCGGTCATATTCAGAATTCAAACTTTGGAAATTACTTTAAATATGACATTATTACATAGTGTTCAATGAATGATCATCATTGTTACAAAGATTCGCAGCATCTACCCTAAAATATTTTGTTGTTGCACTTCAATAAATGTTGATTTTCCTTAATGCTGCAGGGTCTGATAGGAGGTGATGATCTGAATCAGGGATTAGATACCTTCTGGTTAGCGACGGTGCGCTGACAGAATGAGTAGGCCTCAGCACAGGCGTGCTGCAGGGCGCCGCGCAAATCTGCACCTCTCTGCAGCTGGGAGGACAGCAGGGAGGCGGCGTAGAGGAGGGACGCCACAGAGGAGGCCGGGGAGTCTGGGGAGAGGAGAAAAGAGCGTCTTAGAATCCTCCCCAATAAAAGGAGGTGGATTTTCAGGCGCTGAGCTTACCCCAGATGGCAGAGCGGATGCCTCTGTGGATCTGCATTAGCAGCTCACACACACAGTCCCCGGGAACGCCGGCAGAGTGGAGCAGAGTCTTTAGGTCTAACGAGTCCCAGCACATCCCCTCATGTTCCCCTGGGATGTAGATCTCCACCCCCCTGTTCCTCATTGCTCTGGACAGCTCCCCATGAACCGGGTCCATGGTGAGGAACAGCCTGCAAAGCCAGCAGCAATTAACCCAAAACTCTTAGAAACTGCAAGAACCAGTGGAACCTGTGAACGACCTTCAGTGCTAACCTGAAGTTGGGATGTGGGGTGATCCTGGGGGTCTTCCCGTCGATGACACCGCGTTCATTGATGGCCAGTGATCCGTTGGGCTCCAGCAGAGCATTGAGGCGATCTAAGACGGAGGCACTGAAGAGAGAGAGCACCGTCAGCGCCGTCCCATCATCCCATACAGCAGCTGGAGGAGCAATGCTACCTGCAGAAGTTGACGTTGTCCATTAGCAGCCAGTCACCGGCCTGCAGGGCTTGGACCAGCATCCCATCCAACCATTCGAAGCCGCCATTAGTCCAGCCATCCTCCAGCTGAGCCAGACGCTCCTTCAGAAGAGTGAAGTCCATCTGCAGCTTGGACATGTCTGAAGGTAAAGACGTCTACGTTAAGGCACAGCATGCATCACCAGGGTTGAGCAGGAGGGGGGGGCGTGGCGGTTACCGGTGAACACTTTGAGTTTGGTGTTGAGTTTTTGCAGGAGGACGATGATGACCTCCAGCTTGTTGACGGCCTCGGAGGTCACCGTCCCTCCAGCTCTCTGGAGGCCTCTCTCTCTCAACCACTGGCAGAACACGCCCCATGTCTGCAGCAGGAACTGAGTGTCCTGGGTGCCGTCGTCCAGAGACATCAGCCCACGCCTCGTTACCATGGCAACAGTGTAGTCAACCATTTCCAACACTTGCTGCCACGGGCGCATGATGTCCACCTGTGGAGAGGAAAACAGATTCAAACCGACTCCTCCATTTTTTCCCTCTATAATGGTTGCCGGTCGATGGCTACCTGCTCGAACCCCCCCAGGAGCTCGGTGGTGTCCATGGCGCTGTTCATGGCCATGACCCTGAGACGATGTCCTGTGAGCAGAGCCAGCAGTCTCACCAGGCCGGTCTTCCCACTGGCTGTTGGACCGACTACTATGGTCATCCAGCCCATATCCACACACTTCATCAACGACTCCAACGGCTTCAGGCACTGGTGTGTGACAGATAGCGGGGGGTCAAGGGTCACGGGGGCCCCACCGGAGCGTTGTAGTACAGAGAAGCCAACCTACAGCATCAAAAAACAAAACCTACCTATTAGTATGCAATGAAATCCTCCTATGCGGGTCTGCTAAATATATCCAGTATGTAATAAATACCTCCTATGTGCATGTTAGAAGTACCTGCTATCAGAGGTGGGATTATGGTCATCTCTATGTCTGCAGAGGTTAAACCAGATTAGACTCACCTGGTTCAGTGGCTGGAAGAACAAATACATGACCTAGAGATAACTTGTTAACTCCAGATCCCTCATCTCAGCCTCCTGCAGTAGCAGCCATTCAAAATGGCCCTTCCATAAAGAGATGGCCCACCTTCCAGCTACTGGCCTTCTCCTGGGCGTTTACATTTATGTTACTCTGACTCCACCCTTTCACTGAATTACAGGGTCTGACCAGGAGAAGGCGCTTCTCTTTAGATCTTTATTTCCACAAATCATGACAGAAAGAATATTTTCGTACAAAGATTGATGTTTGAAAGGAATTGTAGGGGAGCAGCCAAGGACCAACCAAGGACCAAAGAAGGGTCAACCAAGGGCAAGCCAAGGACCAACCAGGGGTCAGCCAAGGACCAGCCAAGGACCAGCCAAGGGCAAGCCAAGGACCAGCCAAGGGCAAACCAAGGGCAAACCAAGGACCAGCCAAGGACCAGCCAAGGACCAACCAAGGGCAAACCAAGGACCAGCCAAGGACCAACCAAGGGCAAGCCAAGGACCAGCCAAGGACCAACCAAGGGCAAACCAAGGACCAGCCAAGGACCAACCAAGGGCAAGCCAAGGACCAGCCAAGGACCAACCAAGGGCAAACCAAGGACCAGCCAAG